TTCAGACCTCTATGAAATGCATGGCAATCCACAAACGTTAAGTTAGAAATTGAGATATCAGACATGAGAAACAATGGCCATTGCTAAGTCATTGTATTCTTTCTTTTTCTTTCTTTCTTCTTCCTTTTTCTTTCTTCTTCCTTTCTATTTTTTTAATTTTTTTTTTTAGAGAGAGAGATTCTTGCTATAAAGCACATGCATTCCTCAGAGAAACCACTTTCCGGGGGTTGGTGCGGGGGACTGCGATGCCCCAATCTCTTCTTCTCTATTCCCCTTTTGGGATTTTGGGTATACACGCACACACGCCAGTGTGACATATAAGCTGCTTTGTCCTGGACTTGAACTGCAGTGGACACTACCTGGAAGTCCAGTGATGTAACCACTTCGCCATCTGCTGGTCCCCAGTTGTTGTTACTCTTAATTTCTTTGAGTCTGAACACTTCTCTTTATATTCATACCCATCCTCTACCTCAGGAATCTAGCAATAACTCTCTGGGATCCTGTGCCAGCCTCTTGGACTACTCACTTTTCTGTCCCAGTGTTGTCAGTAGTAACTTAAAAAGTACAAATCTGAACACACTAAACCTCTGCTTACAAAGTTTTCATTTCATTTGATACTTATTGATACCAGGATAGACTCAAAACCCATTAATATTGTGAAATTTCTCAAGATTTGACCCTTGTTTATTTTTCATTCTCATTTCTCCCATTCCCTTCTTTTTCTCTCTATGCTTTAGAAACAAAAATTACTTGGGCAGTCCCCTGATCACTCTATTCTATATTTCTCTTACTATACACTCTCATATATTTTTCATCTTTAAGAGTTTGTTTGTTTGTTTCTTTCTTTTTTTTTTTTTTTTTTGCTATGGGGCATGTGTGCTTGCTAGAGAGACAGAGAGGGACATAAAGAGAAATTATCCCGCCAGGGGGATGGCCACACCACAATCCCTTCTCTCTGGATACTGGACATGCACACAAACGCACCTGATATGAGTTTTAAGCCTCCAGGTCTGGAACTCAAACCGTGATCAACTACATGGAAGTACAGTGATGTAACCATTATGCCACCTGCTAGTCCCATATTGTTCACTTTTTTCTAGATGCTTCCAGTTCAATCCCATTTACCCTGGTCTTCTCTGTTTTGCCTTTGGAGTTTTAGTTCGAGATGAACTTTTCCCAGAAATCTTTCTGGTTAGGTGCTTCTGCAAGTGATTCACAATGCCCCCACACCCCTCAACAGTCACCCCACTGAGATGCACAAGAGCCTTGAGGGTCAGAAATGTGATAAGCTCAGGGTCAGCCCCACTCAGAGGTGGTTCTGTGGGGACTGATAGACTTGGTTCCTCTACCCCTGCCAACCTACATTGTTTCAATTCCGTGTATTCACAGAAAGTTCCCTGGAGAACTAAACTGACAGCACAGTGGCTGTCAGGCACACAAATCTGAGTTTCATGGCTGCAAAGGACAATACACGGCCCTTTAACCAAAGAGACAGTGTCCCTTCAAGACTCAATCAAAAGGTATTTTGTTAAAAGGGAAAATAATCATGCATGTGGCTTGTAGAGAGTTACCTACTTTGTTAGAGATTCCTAATATTTCATATTGTGTTTAAACATTTAAAAAATGGTATGTTCACAGTCCTGGAAGGGTCTCTGGATGAGGGAAAAGTCAATGAATAATGGCTAGTATTCCCACTCAAAGTCAAGATTTAGGCACAGTGAACAATTTCCCTACTGATGCTCTACAAAAAGCATCTTTGTTGACAGCAGTTTTGCTGAGATAAATTATACTTCTTTCTTTCATTTCAGAGACTCAGAATCATGAACCACAGAGTCAGCAGAGTGATGTGATTTTTATGTGAGTTTGTGTGTGTGTGTGTGTGTGTGTGTGTACATGTGTGACCTGAAGTAATTTAAGTCAAATAAAATCTATTGAAGTTGCATACTATTTTTTTTTAATAAAATAGTAAGTAGGGGTGAATTGATAGGAGAAGTAATCATTCATTCATTGCAAACTTGATTTTATCTAACAGACTGTTCTCATGTCATATAACCGTTTTTTTTGTTTGTTTTTGTTTTTTTGAGAGGTTTTTGCTATAGGGTGTGTGGGCTCACCAGAAAGAGAGAGAGAGACAGAAAGTGAGAAATCACCCCCCAGGAATATGGCCACGTTGCAATCCCTTCTCCTCCATTCTCCTCTCAGGATCTTGGGCATGCATGCACATGCACCTGGCATGAGTTTAAGCCCCTGGGTCCAGCACTCAAACCACAGTCACTACATGGGAGTCCAGTAACATAGCCATTATGCTAACTGCTGGTCCCCATACATAACCGTTTTTTAAATAGCTTTGTTTGTGACCATCCTTTCTGTTTATGTTGGATGTTTTCATAATCAGGCAAGCAAACATTGAGCTAAGATGGAAAAACTTACGCTGGTCACATCTAAACTTACCTGTTGGATTTTCTTTGATTTTTTTCCCCTTCAAACCTAGTTCTAACATTTTAAATGTCTTTACCCTGGCCAACCCCCCACCAGAGGGGATGGGTGCTCACCAGAGACAGACAGAGAAAGTGAGAAATCATGCCCCACCCCTAAGGGGGATGGCCCCACCACACACATGCTTCCAGCATAATTTTCAAGCTGCTAGGTATGGAACTCAAAGTTTCTTCCTAGAGAACAATGTGGTCAGCCATGTGGGAATTCAGCACCTCAACCATCATGCCCCCTGCTGGTCCTAAATCTTTTTTTTTTTTTTTTTTTGGAGAGGTTTTCGCTATAGGGCACGTGTGCTCGCCAGACAGACAGAGAGAGACAGAGAGACAGAAAGCGAGAAACCACCCCCCAGGGGGGATGGCCATGCCGCAATGCCTTTTCCTCCATTCTCCTCTCAGGATCTTGGGCACGCATGCACATGCGCCCAGTGTGAGTTCTAAGCCACCGGGTCCGGGACGCGAACCACAGTCGACTATGTGGGAGTCCAGCGACATAGCCATTAGGCTAACTGCTGGTTCCCAAATCTCTTTAATTCTTGATGATGATCATAGAAATGTTTTCCTTTGTTAGCACATTTAGCAAATACTTTGTGACTACTTACTTTAGGCCAGACACGTTTAGGCCTAGACACTGATTACAGAGAAATTAATAAAATGAAAAAAAAATCTCATCTTTACAGAGCATATATTGTAATGGGTAAGTCATATCATACAATAACAACAAAAATTGTCATGTTTGCAAGTCTAAGGGTTAAGTAGTATTTAACAGTGAGTCAGGGAAATGATAAAAGTGTTCGGAAAGTATGTGCAGTTTTAGAGAGCAGGACCTTCTCAGTGGGAAGGTGGTCTTTGGCGTAAGACCTGGAAAAAAACAAATGAACAAAAAACACAGACCATAAGTGGTACAGATACTGGAGTAAAAATCCTTTCAAATAGCAGAAATATTGAGTGGAAAGGTCCTGCAGCAAGTAGGTGCAAGAATATGCCAAATGTGGATGAACCAAGTTTGATTCCAAGTGACCCAGAGGAGATTAGAAGAACAGGAACAGACAGCTTCCCAAGGATCACACAGTGAAGGCCTCCTTACAGGTCATCCTTCAGGATGCTGCTGTCTGTGATGAGCTAGAAATAGCTGTTGGCAGTGTCTCAGAAGAGAAGGGACGGGCTCTGATCTGCAGTATCATTCTGGCTACTGTGATGAGATATACCGAGGAGGTGTAAGAGCTAAAGCAGCAAGACCAAGTTAGTGGCCAGTGTGGTAATCCAGATGTTAAATGACTGTTACGACCTGAAGAGTACTCATGGGAGAGGTGAAAAGTGGTTGGGGCTAAGCACAAACTCAGAGTGAGTTTGATTTGAGGTGTTTTCATCCAAGCAAGAATACTGACTAGGCACATTGGATATACTTGTTTGGAGTTCAGTGGAGGGCTGGGAATAATGTGTATAATTTAGTCTTTTTACAAATTCAAATTTAAATGGTATACAAGAGTAGAAAGGAAGTTTGGATATTCAATTTATTTGAAACATATTCACTGTATTTCTTTTTCTTTCTTTCTTTTCTTTCTTTCCTTTTTTTTTTTTTTTAGAGGTGTTTGTTATAGTGTACATGCATTCACCAGAAAGACAGAGACAGAGACAGAAAGTGAGAAATCATCCCCCAGGGGAAATGGCCATGCCACAATCCCTTCTCCTCCATTTTCCTCTTGGGATCTTGGGCACAAACGCGCACACGCCTGGAGTGAGTTTAAGCCACCGGGTCCAGGACTTAAATCACAGTCGACTACATGGAAGTCCAGCGACATAGCCATTGTGCCAACTGCTGGTCCCATATTCACTGTATTTCTATATGCCATATTGACTTTTGTATGCTATAATGTGACTAGAATATTCTCACATAATTCTCTCTCATTAATCTGGAGGCTAACATTTCAGAAAATTTTGAATGAGTGGATGTGGGTGTGAAATTTGTCTTCACTTTGCATGTGATCTGCAAATAAATCAGTATTATACACAGTATAATAAAGAAATTAGCAAATCTATTTTAGAAAAATACTTTTATTCTCTAGGAAGAAACTTATAAACTGTATCTTGTATTCATGTATGGGAAATAGCTTCAAATACTCTAGTAGTTGTTACTTTATCACTAATGAATTGTGGCTACACTATGCATTATGCTTTAATAAAGCTACCCGTATGTAAAAACTATGTAACTCACATATTTTTAGTCTTAATTAGTGACATTTTACTGTGTTACAACTCTGTGGTTCTTAACTGCAAGTTATGCAACTTCTGTACAAAAAACAGCAGGTAAGAATACATTAAGAGAAGTCTCAATACAAATTTGATATAATTTAGAATGATGCTAAATACACACACACAAACTCTACAACATGGGAAGGTGAAGAAAATGAAAACATTTGCAAAGGTATTTATTGAGAAATAGTAAAGATATACATATTTTTACAAGCTTTTAATATTAATTTACATTTCTTTAAATTATGTAGGCCCCAATAATCTATACCTTACTAATACATAACAGAAACCTTTGACTTAGACTGTGAGATTTCCATAATGCTACCATAGTTGGGAGTCAAAATGCAACTTTGGCTCATGATGTTTAAGTTTGTTTTAAAAGAAATACTAAATGCCATATTCACTGAGAATGTAGGCTTGTCATAAACAAATTTGCTAAAAAAAAAAAAAATTCCTAAAGCAGCATGCTGTTGACACTACTTTAAATCTTAGTTTACCAGAGATTAATGAAAACAAAAATTTTAGAGGCAGTTATTACCTTCTCTTTGTGCACAAATTGCATGATTCTAAAATATTTTTATCCCCAAACTCAATTTGTAAATTTTGTAGGGGTACAATGTCTTAATTGCATGCTATAGTATTGTAACGAGGCCACCTATTTTATTTCTGTAATTACAATCTTGATATTTTTAAGGTGCAACACAAGGTGGTTATCCCTCCTAGCAATATAATATACCAAGTTTGTGTATGTAGTAGCCAAATCACATTTTCATTAAGGGACATTCTTCAAACTGATTTATAATAAGGCACAAGTATTCTGTATGTAAATAGAATGCGGGAACTGCCAAAGAGGCTGATTTCTTGTTCGTTGGACTATTTTTTTGTTTTTCAGGTCAGGAAGGAAGAGGATTTTCTGTTCCTAAGGTGGGAAGGGAAGAATTCTAGTTTGAGCATGCACAAAGTCACATGACCATGATGTGATGTTGGCTTGTTGACCTGCACCATTGTTGTGCCAAACAAGCTGTTCTCTGTCAACCTAGCATTTAAGTTTTATGCTGGCAGCCTCTTCTGAAGATGTAACAAGAAAAAGGATGTGTACGAGAAATAGTACTAGGTGAGCGGGTGGGTGATGCAATTGACCAGCTCTTTGCCCTTTGAAGGCTGTTTCTTTCTGTACCTGCAGGGTTAGCAATATAAGATGCCTTGCTTGTTTGATATAAAAAAGAATGAAAAATTTAAATGCCATGCCACAATTCTATTATTCAAAGAAACCGGCTATAAGATAATTTTATTTTTATTCACAGTAGTAAATATTTAAGGTTTTAGTGCACAAAATAATCAGGTACTGGTAATCAGTATAACTCTTTTAAATTTTAAAACTGCTTTTTTCAAGTTAAAGGTCGATACAGTGCAAGGTTTATTATTGCTGTTATTATTAAAAGTATTCCAACCTCAATTTATTTGCAACAGTGTTTGGGCAGGGGTATTTGGAAGCTGCACAAATTTAAAGTATAAGTTTAAGGATTGTGTAATTAAGTTTAAGTAACAATCTTATGCGAAATTGGGACCTCTATGTCTTTCTGCCCAACATAAACATGGACTTAGCAATCAGTTAAAAACAAAACAAAACAAAACAAAACAAAACAAAAACAAAAACAAAAATACAGGTTTACAGCCTCAAGAAATAAAACCATATTCCCATGGTGAATGTTGTGATGTTTGAGCAAAGCACTGACTTCGTTGAAGTCAGAGAAGCCTCAGGTGGTTAACTACCATGGACTGGCCTCTGGTTAAGAGTTCTGAGTAGTAGCTGGACTGCAGAATGCACATTTTAAACACAGAACTGAAGGTGCAGGCACCATTAAAATACTCTAGATCTTGAAGTTTTAAATTTCCACAAGGGAATTCATGTCATAGAAAATGACAGGAGAACCTGGATCGTGTTCCAAACATGGGCTACACACCAAGGGAAAAAAAAATCATGCAAACCCACGATGACAGGTTCTCCTTTCAAAGAATACAGTCTATTGTGCAGTAACTCTACAGGCAGAAACAAATGTATGCACGACTGTAATGGAGGGATCCTGAATTGATGTGTTAGGGCGGAGAACCAGGTACTTTTTTTTAACTTCTGTGATTTCCGTAATGCTGCCAAGATCCAGTTCACATGTTAATTTAATTTATGATAATATTCTAGCTACAATTTTTGTAGACTTACTTTTTTTCCTTAGAAGCCATCTGGGGCATCTGCCTTCCGTTACTGATGACATCTCTCTTTTGCAATGGCATTGAGTATAAACACACTTAGTTTTATTTTAAGCCATGTTCACACAATGTGAATTTCAAGCCAAGGCCATGGCATATTCTAAGAGTTTGGGTGATAATTGCTTATGATTTGCATGAAAATATCTTCCTCTACAGAACTTACACATATCCAAAAGTCTCCGACTCAAAGCTGTGCAAGTCATTATGAATATGGTTATTAGTTTTCTCCAGTAATGTATAAAGGGTACTTGAGACTTCAACATACACTTCACTTTCTAAGTACAGGTCCCACAGTCTTTCCCAAACCTTCTGATTATGGTTGGATGCACAAATAGTTGCCTCATACAATTATTGGAATTATTAAGAACCCAAATAAAACACAAGCTTTCCTTTATCATTGTTGTTTTCTTATTGCAACAAATACTCATTTTCTTGCTGATGTAGGATTAAGCTTGATAGCTTGAATTTTAAATTTGGTCATGTCAAGAGTGATCACAAGATTTTTTTTTTTTTATTATCTACAGAGATTTTAACCAAAGTTACATTGTAACACACAAACGCTGTCTTGTCTTTAAGGCACAACACATCAGTATGAACATTCTGTTTGCCAAACTTAAAAAAGAGACAATATTATATCCCCATTTCCCCTCCCTGCCCCCTTCCCAACAAATGAAAGAAAAATTGCATCCACTTTCAAAGTCAGCTGCTAATAAAGTCACAGTAAATTATTTTCATTAATAATTTACACAAATTACAGGTCTAGATAGGACTGTCCTATACAGTCTGAGTGCATTCCAATTCAGATTTTCTGGGCTAGGTAGGCTAAAGTCAGATTCAAACCTCAGGGCTGAGAAGATCTCCCATTTCGAGGAATGTTGTTGACCACCTTGTCAGACGGAGCATGGATGTTGCTGCTTTGCCAGGGTAGGAGTTCTTTGCTAAAGCGATTAATTCCAGTTACAACTCATTTGGTGTAGACCAGCAACCTCCACAGATTTCTTTTTAAAAATCATTAACATGTTGTAAGACCATAGAGTTTCCTTTTCGGTAGCACTAAAGTTTAATTCCATTCAGCAATCTGAATTCTTCATTCTGGAATTTTCATTCCAAATATGATTTCATCCTTTAAGACAATTTATATGTGTAGAGCCAGAGGCATTGATCACACATAAAATTCAGTGTACTTGAAATATAAAAAACGGATCTCCTGCTAGAGAACACAGTTACAAATACTCTAATTCCAGTGCTTGATGTAGAGCCAAGAGGTCTGAGTGACTTGATATCCTCCAAAAAGGCATGTTGTGCTGTGCGGTTAAGCAAAGGAGGGATGGGGGAGAGAAGGGGAAGGAATGAAGAATGGACAGAGGTCATAACCATCATCTTGACGAAGCAGCACTACACACAAGGGTGTGCAGTCTATCCAAGTTCAAGAGAGGGAGTTTGAAGGAGGGAATGATCATATCTGAAAACCTGGCAGCAACAATATGGCATCAACATAAGAGCGAAATAGATCTGAACCGGATTTTAATGATAATAAAAGCAAACATTGCAGTTTCTTTGGTGGTTTAGAGTTTGTTCTGGAAAGTATCATTAACACCAGTATCTGGGGAAGCAAGCAGGCATCAACAGCCTACTTGGCTAAAGGAAAGCAAGTTTTAATCAGTACACCACTCCTAAAGGTCCATCTCCAGGTTAGAAATAAAATAGAGCCAGCTGCAGCAGCACAGCAGTAACACAATGTTTCTCTATGCTGAAGCCACATGGGAAGATCCCAGTTTGCACCCTGCTATCTTCCTGTACATGCTGGGCATGAACTCATGCCTGTGATTTAGATCCTGGCTGGCTGAGGTTGGGGTTGGATCATGGCATGGGGACCCTGTTGGGGACACTTGTTTCTTTCTTGCTCGCTCTCTTTCATGGATGAAACAATAAAAATTTAAAAATAAATAAGTTAAATAAAGGAAAATGATGAACTTCCTAAGCCCAAAGCCTTCTGCCTATTTGAGCAGGAAAGAGGGTAAATTTCTTTCTTTGTTTAAAAAACATGAAGCTAGACTATATAACATAGGAAAAAATGTTAGAACAAAATCCTTCTTACTTGTCTGAAATAACTTAAACCAATAGAATTGACTTGGTTTCTTTCACTGATATGAGGTTGAGATAAACATACATTTTTCAACAGAGGAGATATTTCACAAAGAGAGAAAATCTTAGTCATTACAACACCTGTGGGCTGGCCCTGTAACCTAGTGGTTAAAGGGAGCCAGATCCCACAAGGCCGATTGCTAGTTGAATTGTGGACCTGTAAATTCTTTATACAAGCCAAATGATATATAGTGATTGAATATTTTTAAAAAATGAGAATAAATAATAATAATGATAATTATAATCTGAAAAAAATGAAAAACTATTGGATGATGATGTGGATAGCAATGTCTTTGTCATGACTGATATGCATGGTAATCATGCTGGAAAAAGAAATGCAATACACTGTAAATTATGTGATTCAATGTAATATAAAAAGATTATGACAATAATAAAATTTAAGAAAATAATTAAAAAAAACAATAAAAAATAAAAAAGAAGACTGGTGTACATATAGGTATGCCCTAAATCCCAGTAAGATGAAGAAATGGAGGGGAAGAGGTTGTAGCAGGACCATGGCACCCAAGGAGGAGTGCTTTCTCCTGGTCTCTCTCTTGGACTCTCTAGCCTTCTGATGACTGCTTGTAACATATGACAATTAAAAATAAATATATGGGCCAGCAAAGGGTATGGTGGTTAAGGTGCTAGATTCCCATAGGGCTGATCATGATACAAGTCCTGGACCTGGCAGATTGAAAAACATGCCAGACACTTACGCATCTGTGCACAAAATCTCAGGAGGAAAATGGAAGAGAAGGAATTGTGGAGTGGCTATCCCTTCTAGGGGTGATTTCTCACTTTTCCTCTCTCTCTGTCTCTCTCTCTCTTCCATGAGTGCATATGCTTATGTAAAAAACCTAAACATCAAGAAAACAAAAGAAAAAAACAAAACTACATACAGTATATAGCATATAAGTGTTATTAAAATTTCACGTAGTAGGTTTTTTCAGGGAAAAAATATCTGAAAGGACTCCATTGGAAGCAATAATTTAAAAAAAGAAAACAGCACTATAGAAATTGACAGAAATCATTATTCGTAGTTTGGAGTGATGACATCTCATAAAGTATGTATGTTTGAATAAGCATTCATGTGTATAAAGGAAATATATATGTGTATGTGTATAAAAACATGGAAAGACATTTTATTTAAAAAATTAATCATCATAATGACTATTGCTATATAATTCTTTGCTGCCAAATATAGGAGCCACCAGCCACATGTGAGTGTTGAACACTTGAAATATAGTTAGGCTAGATTAAAATGCATACATACTAAATTTCAAAGAATAGGAACAAAAAATGTAAACATCATATTACTATGTTGATTAGTTTTAGACAATAATATTTTGGGTGCAGTGGCTTAATTAGAATTTATTATTAAATTAATTCTACTTTTTTCCTACTTTTTAAAAGATGTGACTTCTAGAAAATAAATTAATTCTACCTGTCTTTTCTTACTTTTTTAAAAAATGTGACTTATAGGGGCCAGCAAGTGGTAGGGAGTGGTTGGAACACAGGACTCCCACATGGCCAATAGTGGTTTGAGTCCTGTACCTGGTGGCTTGCTTTCTCAATCTTCTTCTCTCTCTTTCTCTCTTTTTCTCTCTGGTCAAATAAAATAATAATTATAACAATAAATAAAATTGAATTAAATAATTTAAAAAGTGGCTTCTAGAAAATTTAAATTACATATGCAGCTCACAATATATCTTTCTAGGAGAACACAACTGCTCATTCGTACTCCTAAACTTAGAGATTATTTTTTAAGTATCAAGGTACATTTTGGTCAATTTAAAGCCGAAATTTACCTAGAAGTAACATATTTTTCATTCAGCTCAGATCTATTTGTAGTAACAAAATAGTACTTAATATATCTGCACATGCGATTACTGCTACATTCAAAGAAAAACATGCAATCTGGGTACTAGAGAAACCAACCACCTGTGTTTAAAATCAGAATTATAAGCCTTCACCGTCACCAAACTGTACCTACATAAACAACCATTTGGAAATAGCATTCTATCTGCAAGTCTTATCCATTTGGAGTCATGCCTTTTTCTCCTGAAGGTTTAGGTATAAAGCAGAAAGTATAATAATGGGTATGCCATGTCTACTCTCATTCCATGGATATCTTGAGTAGACTTGGTAAGTTTCATTCTCAAAGGCATATACTGCTATTGGTATTACAAAATGAATTTTATTAGTTCTGACCTGACATACATGAACTTCATCTAGGCTAAAAGACATAAATGTTTACTGAGGTGGGTGAAGCCATGATTATTATGTGTTGTGCATAATTATGGTGCCAATGTAAAAAAATCAAAACTACACAGACTGAGGAAACAAACTCCAGAAGATATTTCAATCGTGTGTGACTGAAAGCATTTCAAGTAGTAGTCAGCAACGAAAGCTGCATTTCTTGAGGCTGAAGCCCTGTTCTCATACAGAAAGTCCTTGGGACCAGTGTGCTTTCCTGGGTCATTGACACTGCGAATAAAGACCTCAGTGTTCTGTAGGAGGCAGAGCTTGCCCTGGTTTTCTTACTGTGACAGCAAAGTATGGAGAGTTTCAAGTATGGCTGCCAATGTTGTCGCCAAATCTTCCAAAGTAGAGGTGCTTTCTCTTTCTCCATTTACTTGATTCAAATCAATTAGAAACATAAATCACTTCCTATCTATTTCTCTTATAGCCACAAATTTGTCTATGAAACTGTTGATGCTGATTTGTTGTGGAATACAGAAATAAGGTAAACACTCTACCACATACAAATGTGAAAACTTCATTAGATGATGATTTAAAAATCTCCACAGGATAACAAGAATAATAGTTGCTGTGTGTAAAACAATGTAAGTTGATATGTCATTGTGTAAAAATATGAATTCACTGGGACCAGCAGATGGCATAATGGTCACATTGCTGGACTCCCTCATGGCTGGCTGTGGTTTGAGTCCCGACCTGGTGGCTTGAAATTCACACTGGGTGCATGTGTGTCTATGCCCAAGATCTGAGAGGAGAATGGAGGAGAAGGGACTGTGATGTGGCCATCCCCCCTGGGGGGGGTGATTTCTCACTTTCTATCTCTCTGTCTCTGTCTGTTCACCAAATGTTCATGCCCTATGGCAAAAATCTCTCTCTAAAAAAAAGTAAATTCATCTTTTTGCTTTGTTTTATGAATTATATCACTTTTATCTTGGCCAGATGATATTTTGCTATCATTCAGTGAAGGAAACAGTGGATCTTAGTGTTCTGTCAACTGATAGTCTGGTGTCTGGGGCCAAATCTGATATCATTCCTTTTTTGAAGGTAAACTGACCATTTAATGTCTTCTCCTTCCTTTTTATTATTATTTTACATTTAATCGCTATACATCATTTAGATTGTAAAGAGACTTTATCCAGCATGATAATACACCTCAGTCCAGCCCAGTTAATTGCCTTGGTTTCTTCTTCAGAAATGTGGGCCAGATGAAGAAGCTTATTTAAATTATGAATACCTGGGGGCCGGCAGGTGGCATAGCGCTTGGGGAGCTGGACTCCTAATGTGGCTGACTACAGTTTGGGTCCTGGACCTGGAGGTTTGCTTTCTCCTTTCCCTCTCTCTCTGTCTCTCTCTGCTGAGCACACATTTCCTATAGCAAATAAAAAAAATAATAATAATAGATAATTCTTTTAAAAAATGATGAAGATCTATGAGATCTAAATATGTTTAAAGTCAGTGGCTTGGCTTCAACCGTATACTAATGGTTCACCAAAACAGATGACACTCCTAGAAGATATGAGCACACTGTGTCTACATCTCTAACACAATTTGGCACAAAAAGATGGATAATGCATCCCATCCCAACAGCACTTATTAAACTCCCTTGCAACCATACTTTCATCAGCTACTGTATCTATTCTCAGCATTTATCATCATGGAGCATATCTATTTCTAGGCACTCAGAAGGACCATTTGGCATATGAGACTCATGAATCAGTCACATGATTTTTCCATGGAACTCATTAAACCACTTTATCTTGCTAAATGCTATGTGCTTAATGATGGTTATTTTCTTCCATCATTCTAACACTGCATCATCTCTATCTACATACATTGTGTATGGTCATTTATGCCTGTATACAAGTGCATAAATGCACCATATCCACACAAATACATGTTTATATTTATGCACACACATATAAATAAATACAACTAAAATTTTCTGCCTTTCCTATCAAATTACAGGCAAAAAATGCTAGACTCCAAATGGTTTACTGGAATGTAAGTATTGACCCTTTCATGCTCTTATTGCTTTGCGTCTTTAAATTTAAATCACGTGTCAAGCTGCCAATGGGCCAAACTACAGAAATGCAAACAAAAAGGCTTGCATTAGAAGTATCACACCAACAGTGTTTGAGACAGGTTACCTTTTTTGCTGCCTGTTCTTCTTCTACACCATCCCCAATTACAACATATACTACTTTTCTGCCAAACCTTTGCATTATTCGTTCAAAGCAACTTTCTTTTCCTGGAAGATAAATGAGATAATGTTCAGAGTGAAGTTACCTGGTTAGCGGCATGCTCCTCATCTCGGCCATCTCCAATCACAACATAAGTTATGTTAGTGCCAAATCTGGACACTATACGCTCAAAACAGCTTTCCTTGCCTGAAAAACAATGCACTGCTTATTCTTCCAGCTATTGCATTCATTAACCTAAAGATTCATAATGTCTTAAGTTAATTTCTCTTGAACATCACTTGACTAGCTTACAGCCTCTGGGTTCATGAAATTAACACACATGTGTAAACAACGTAAGTCCTTATTTAGGATGGATTATTAAACAAATGTGTTTCACACTTCAAAAAAGTGAGTAGGGTTAATCATCTGACGTGGAGAAAATGTTAGTATGGTTTATTCCATTAAAAGGGTATTGGAATAACTTTACAGGCAGCTATATGTTTTAATAACATCTGTTTAACTCTAAAAGTCAATTTTATCAAATTAATTTTTTAAAATATAGACAGCTCAGCTGAAAATATTATTATGAAAAATTGAAGGTTCACCTCTAAGGAAAAAGGCAATACTGAAATGTGAATTTACCTTGGTCAACAATGCCTTTCTTCCAGTGGGTGGGAGCTAGTCTGCACAGATTAATAGCACCAAGGGTGCTGTCCAAATGGGCCTCAGCACTGTTAACACTAGTGTCCTCTGACTGCACTATGGGAAAACTACCACGGAATCCCTACATGTTCTTCATTTTTATAACACTGGCATTATACTCTGAATTTCACTCTCAGAATGTCCATTCAGCCATGGTTATTATTTTTTTCCCTTAATCTGACAGCTGAGAACTCCAAAAATCACTAGGTTAAGGAGAAAATTAAGATTTTTTTTTCAGATTAAATATAAGGAACAATTTGCCCAATAAGAAAAGAATATTGTCCTTACTAAAAGAAGTATTTATTCTGGTATAAAATTATTTGATTCGTCAGAAAGAAAAATCATGTTCTGGATGCTAACTCTACTAACACAAATACATAATTCATATATATATATATGTGTGTGTGTGTGTGTGTGTTTTGAGTCCCAGACCCAGTGCCTTGAGAAACATACTAGGTTCATGTGTGTGCCCCAAATCCCCACAGGTGGGGGAGGTGGGGAGGAGATTCGGGTGTGGTCACCTTCCTTAGAAGGGTGCTTCCTCACTTTCTCTCTTTCTCTGTCTCTCTCTGGCAAGCGCATGTGCTTTCTGGCAAAATTTTCTAAATATATGTATGAGGCTGTTATCCATACTTTGAATTGTGGCAATTCTGGCAATCTGGAATCTACTTTGAAAGTTTGGCTCTCTTTAACTGTACATATGAAACAGCTGCAACTGGGGGATTCTTTTGCCGGAGCTGATGTCAGACCTCCTCAAGGCCCAGGGCGGGTTATTTTTGGTGGGGGATTTGGGGATTTAGAATTTCTCTTGTCAAGTTGCCAGAGCCTACGTCTGTTGACCTCTAGGGCACGCTGAATAACCCATTTATTTTCCTGGGCATTTCCTTGACAGTGAAATACATGAACTGTTTTCTTTTAACTCTTTCAAGATGGCAGGAGTCAATGAAGTTTTTGCTTTTGAATGTTTGTTACAGGTTGGAGTCTGCAAAATGCACTTAAAGTAAAAAATAGCTCCACAAATAGATATCTGAATAAACAAGATTGTAGCTGATGGTTACTACATATTTCTTGTAATGTGGAATTTTCAGCTACTCATATTATAAATCTCTCAGTTATAGTTTCTGATTCATTTACTTATGTAATTGAGTTCATTAGTTTAGTTCATCTGAGATTTCCCTGTAATATCGAAATCACATTTTCATCTTTTATCTAGATTCCTGAATATGCAAGATACATTATACTCCATATAAGCCAACTATTAAGTACTATCACTCTGGCATTATTAACGATATATATTATTTAGATAACATGTGTTGTAATATTCTATGAAATACGTAGAATGAGTAAGAAGCACCCAGATATTGAGTTCCCAGTTCCACTAATCAACAGGTCTCATAAAATTTTTGTTCATTGTACAATGAGTTGCAAAAGACTTTGTTATTTGAACTTTATCCAAATTTCCTTCATGTTCTAAAAGCAAAGTTGATGAAAAAGGGAACGAGGCAGAGACAGACATTAAGAAAATCCCCCAAACACCCGTGAGCACATTTCATAGAGAGTTTAAAATAATTTCCTTACCTATTTTAGTTGCACTGTAAATATTCTCAATGGGGAAAGCACCTCCTAAACTATAGAGCAGAACCTTCGCAAGGGCTGGAATCAGTTGGGTTGTTGTTACCAAGACATTTACACAGTTACTCCTAAAATAGGGAGGAAATACACATATTTGTCTTCTAGTACTAAATAGTCTCAAATCATATAAATTTAAAATTGTCATTGTGGTTTCTAAGTTCCATAACACATGGCCCCTTTCAATATTTGACAGATTTTGCTTATCAGCAGTCAAAACAGCAGCAGATTATTAAGAATAATACAGAAACCATGAGAATATTGTGACGCTTAAAGTTCTACATAATATTTTATGAAAACATGATGCTACTCAAAGTCATGTCTAGATATATGATACAGTATAAAAACATGGTAAAATGAAACAAAGCTCAGGCTTTTCGAGTTCAGAGATATGGTTTTGAGATAAGCTTTCAACAGTTATAATATGTGATATTCAGAGTTACACTATTTTTTTATTTTGTATTCAATCAAGTTATAATCAAGGACACAAATGAAAAATACCTGACTCCACAAACTGATGAATGGATTGGAAAAGTGTGCTATATATACTCTATGGAATACTACTTAGCCATAAAAAATAACAAGACCCTGGCATTTGATAGAAAGTGGTCAGATATGGAGGATCTATTGCTGAGTGAAGTAAGCCAGGCTATGAAAGAAAGATATTGTATGTATACACTCAATATATACCATCTATCCACACTCCATGGTAGAGAGCGAAAAACTGGAGGACATAGAAGCAGTGAAGGTACTTAAAGAGAATAGGACAGTGTGGAATGGGGAGGGGGTTGAAGAGAAGAAGATAGAGAAAGATAGCAAGAGAACAAATAGAGAGGCAGGACGTTAGTGAGAAACAGATATGGCTTATTACCTGTTGATGATGACATGTATAGTATTCTCAAATAGATTGGTCTGAGAAGTATTTCATGATGGGTAAAGTCTTTTTACAAGCAAAATGAGAAATAGCGATTGACTGTTTTAAAAATAATTAGAATAATAATAATAATAATGATTGGGAAAAACATAGAAAAGATATTGAATGAAGTGGGGAGATTAATGTCTCTATTGACTGACATGCATGGCATTCCCTTTTGAAAAAGCAATGTAATACACTGTAAAGTTATATGTAATCCAATGTAATATGAAGAAGATTATGATGATAATAAAAATAAATAAATAAATAAAAATACATGACACAACAACAGTTATTTTAAAGTTATTGGAATGAATAGAGATGTCTTCATGCATGCTTTAATCTTAATAAGCATATATAATTAGACCAATTGGAAATAACCTGCTAGAATTTAATTTAACAGAATTTAATTAATTTCATAATGAACATGGTCTATTTTTCTTTTTCTTTCTCTTGTTTTAAACTTTTTTTCCATCTGTCAAATGTTTCCTCCCTTGTAGTTTACACTCACTTACCACCTCCCACTCTCTACCGTCCACTCTCCCTTGCTTACAGTCTCTAGCATTTGCACCCACTCTCTCTACTATCACATTTTCAAGTCCCTCATCCTCTGCCATAGCACTCGGTACAAACTGACTTGGGATGTGCAATGTGGATCTTTCAAAGTCTGGCTCACTTCACTCAACCTTAACTCTTCTATATTCATCCATTATAATTGTGCAATATTTCATAATATATATGTGCCACAAGTTTTCAACCCAGTCATCAGTTTTTGGACACTTAAGTTGGTTCCATTTGTTAGCGATGATAAATAATGCTGCAATAAACACGGATATGCAGGTATCTCTCTAAGTGTTTTCCTATCCTTTAGGTAAATATCAAGAAGTGGGATTACTGGGTCTTATGGAATTTCTACTGGCAGGTTTTTGAGAAAACTCCATATTGTTTTCCACAGAGGTTGAACTATTTTATATTCCCACCAACAGTGTAAGAGGGTTCTCTTTTTACCACAGCCATGCTAGCACTTGCCTGTCTTCCTTTTCTTTCTTTCTCGTACTTTCTTCCTTTCTTTCTTTTCTTTCCTTTTCTTTCTTTTTCATTTCTTCTTTCTTTCTTTTTTCCTTCCTTCCTTCCTTCCTTCCTTCCTTCCTTCCTCTTTCTTTGTTTTCTTCTTTCCCTCCCTCCCTCACTTCCTTCCTTCCTTGTTTTTCATCTGAGCCATTCTAACTGAAGTTAAATGATAGTTCATTGTAATTTTAATTTGCATCTCCCTTATGACAAGAGACTTTGAAGATATTTTTCATATGGCTCTTTGCCATTCATAAGTCTTTTTTACAGAGTTGTTTAATCAATCCACTTTTCTTTTAATTGAATTATTCACCTTTTTATGGGTGAGCTGCTTGAGTTCCCTATATATTCTAGATATCAATCCCTTGTCTTAGGAATAATTTGCGAATACTTTCTCCCATTCCAAGTGTTGACTTTTCACTCTAGTTACACTTTCCTTTGTTGTGAGGGAGATTTTTAGCTTATGCCTGCTCCAATGTCTTCAAAAGTTTCTCTCATGTTTTCTATTAGTAGTTTTGTAGTTAGAGGCTTTATATTAAAATCTTTAATCAATTTCAAGTTAATTCTAATTAATGATGAAATACAGGGGTCTAGTTTCATTTTTCTGCAGATGGATACCAAGTTCTTCAACACCATTTGCTAAAGAGGCTTTCTTTTCCCAGTTACATTATTTATTTGCTTAATTAAAAATGTTGTATATATTTATAATAGAAAACGTATATAATACAAATATAAAGAAAAAAATGAAAACCATCAATTATATTTAACTGTTCAACGATAACTGCACTCTCCATTCTGTGCATTTACTGTCAGTGTTTCTGTTTGTAAATAGATTCTTTCCTTAGGATCATAGTACATGCAGTTTTATATTCTACTTCATTTATATCACAAACTTATTAGTATAAATCATATTATATTTCCTCTCTCCCAGAAAAACATAATGTAATGTGTGCAAACTACTCTATGTGGCTGCACCCTAATTTTGGAATTAGTTATCGAGATTGCTTATTTCTAAATATTATATAAAATGCTATGTATATATTTTCCCTAGTGGGATTACTGGGTCTTATGGAATTTCTACTGGCAGGTTTTTGAGAAAACTCCATATTGTTTTCCACAGAGGTTGAACTATTTTATATTCCCACCAACAGTGTAAGAGGGTTCTCTTTTTACCACAGCCATGCTAGCACTTGCCTGTCTTCCTTTTCTTTCTTTCTCGTACTTTCTTCCTTTCTTTCTTTTCTTTCCTTTTCTTTCTTTTTCATTTCTTCTTTCTTTCTTTTTTCCTTCCTTCCTTCCTTCCTTCCTTCCTTCCTTCCTCTTTCTTTGTTTTCTTCTTTCCCTCCCTCCCTCACTTCCTTCCTTCCTTGTTTTTCATCTGAGCCATTCTAACTGAAGTTAAATGATAGTTCATTGTAATTTTAATTTGCATCTCCCTTATGACAAGAGACTTTGAAGATATTTTTCATATGGCTCTTTGCCATTCATAAGTCTTTTTTACAGAGTTGTTTAATCAATCCACTTTTCTTTTAATTGAATTATTCACCTTTTTATGGGTGAGCTGCTTGAGTTCCCTATATATTCTAGATATCAATCCCTTGTCTTAGGAATAATTTGCGAATACTTTCTCCCATTCCAAGTGTTGACTTTTCACTCTAGTTACACTTTCCTTTGTTGTGAGGGAGATTTTTAGCTTATGCCTGCTCCAATGTCTTCAAAAGTTTCTCTCATGTTTTCTATTAGTAGTTTTGTAGTTAGAGGCTTTATATTAAAATCTTTAATCAATTTCAAGTTAATTCTAATTAATGATGAAATACAGGGGTCTAGTTTCATTTTTCTGCAGATGGATACCAAGTTCTTCAACACCATTTGCTAAAGAGGCTTTCTTTTCCCAGTTACATTAATTATTTGCTTAATTAAAAATGTTGTATATATTTATAATAGAAAACGTATATAATACAAATATAAAGAAAAAAATGAAAACCATCAATTATATTTAACTGTTCAACGATAACTGCACTCTCCATTCTGTGCATTTACTGTCAGTGTTTCTGTTTGTAAATAGATTCTTTCCTTAGGATCATAGTACATGCAGTTTTATATTCTACTTCATTTATATCACAAACTTATTAGTATAAATCATATTATATTTCCTCTCTCCCAGAAAAACATAATGTAATGTGTGCAAACTACTCTATGTGGCTGCACCCTAATTTTGGAATTAGTTATCGAGATTGCTTATTTCTAAATATTATATAAAATGCTATGTATATATTTTCCCTA